AAACAATATTGAAAATTTTCGGACGAAAAAAACTGCCTGTCAAAAAAAGTGTATAGCCTCAACGACAAATTTAGTGATTACCAGCACAAAACATCCCCCTTTAGAACTTCATCTGTCATGTTAAGAAATGAAAGTAAATAATAAAGCGCCTCTCGTGTTTGTTCGCACTCTTTATTTATTTTTAATATATTTTTTAAATTTACATTTTTTTAATTGTAAAGTAATATATTACATTTAAATGGAATATATTACATAACAATTATGTCAATTATAGGATTACAAGCTTGTTTTCTAACATTTTTTAAATAAAACGAATTATAAAATTTCAATATATGTATATTTATCGTAGTATGAAAAAAGTAAAATATAAAATGGACAAACGCTTACTTACATTGCAATAAAACTTCCACTTTTAGTTTTGCAATCCAAACGCAATATTTCTATTTCACAAAAAAAAATATCCGACAACACTAAAATCACTAAAACTTCCGCGGCTGACAACGAAAACTGAAAAATATAACGGCACTTTTGTTTTGGACCTGCATATCAACATTACGCTGTACTATTGTGTTTGTTGTTGAAATAATATAAAATATCTAATTATAACCTGTAAATTTTAATATTTTAACATGATTTTAACTACTCTTGACAAAAATTAACTTTTTGTTATCAAGATGACATTTTAGACGGCAACTGACATTTATGTCATAATATTTGAATCTTAAATATGTATGTAATATAATTTAAATTACTATATATAATGCAACTTTATACTAAGAAAACATTTATACATTCACAAAATACAACAAAATCTAATAATATAATTTGAAAACAATGAATATTGAATTAAAATTGAAAAAGTTAAGCGCGACCCCTTGTGTCAAAATTAGATGATTAAATTTTCGCAATTTTTACACCATTTGATGACTGGTAGCGCCTCTAGTGTTTGTTCGGGCGGTTGGTCTTTTACTCCCGCTTTTGGCCATTAAAAAAAAAGTTCTAAAGGGGGATGTTTTATGATTACCAGTCACTGTGACATAAAGAGAGGACATTTGTCTATCTATTTCAAAAATGATAAATTAAATTGTTCGAATGCCATATAATATTGGCCGTAGCTGTCATAATAGGAGTGAGCGGTTAAAAAAATATCAAAAATCATTTTTTTTTTAAATGGAAACCATAAGCTGAGACAATCATGCAATTTTTTAAAATACTTATGATGAATATGATCTAAAATAACAGCAAATTCATATTTTGTTATAATTTCACTAGGATTCAAAAAGGTTGGAACAAAATATAGAGACACAAACACAAAGCAGTATTAAAGATCTAACTAAGCCAACGAAAAATAATTCAATTTATGTTGTTGCACAAAACTGAATTGCCTTAAGTGTTTGATGTTATCCTTACGTAAAAGCTTCCAAAACTCTCTTTAATTTGCATCACAAATAAAAGAAGAGAGAAAGAAGTAGGAAGATGTAACAGGTATTTTATAAAGACTGATGGGCTTAATAGCAGGTGGCTCGTTATTATATCAAGCATGTTTTAAAGTGTTTCTCGCTAACTCCTTTAGCATCTTAGCTTCCATAACAATGTTTAGTTTTAAAAGGAAACTGTGTATGTTATGGAAATAACATGATAGTGCTCGACAAAATAAAAGTAAATTCGTTTAAAAATAAACAAAAATTTTGAAAGTGTTATACCGGGTATTTTTTTATATTTTTAATAACTTTTTTTAAATAAACCGCAATAACTTTTTGATTTTTTTTAGATAAAAAAATGAAATTTGCTATGTTAGTATAAAACATAAATCAGGATTGATTGCCGTATTCAATTATTTTCGGTCACTTCCTGTTTCACCGGAAATAACTACAACTTTTGATTTTTAAATGGTACCTTCGGTATTTTTTTACTATATTTAATAGAAAATGACACTATGAATAGAATGGCATATCAGATGTCAACTTTATTTTTTTTTTATTCTCAATTAAGAAAAATAGTATTTTAAATTTTAATCTAGATTACCATGGCTGTGTTAAAACTACAATTTTTAATCAAGGAGCCTTTGAAAAATAGATTAAACCGTCTAATGTTTTTCGTGTCTTAATCTGGCCAGTTAAAAAATGCCCAAATCGTAATTTTGTTAGATGAATATTTTTAATTATAACTCATTTTTTTCAAATGGAACGAGGGTGGCTCATTAGCATATTTGAAAAACTTTTTACGAATATTTGGTTGCTACATACTTAGTATTTCGGGACAAATTGTCTTTATATTCATTGTCGTGGCACTCTAGATTAAAAATATTTAAGATTTATATTTGATAATAACCTGAGGTAATAACCTTAGATTAAGAATAAAAGGTAATAACTGTGTTCATCTATTACATAGAATAAGGAAATGTATAAGGAATACAATAAGAAAAATACAGCGTTTAATTTTGATCACTAAAAATAAATGCTACAAACTTAGACTATGTAGAATAAAAATAAAATAAAAAAATGTATAATTAAAAATTGAGATACAGGTAGCTTTTCTAATAGATATTTAGAAAAATAATCTATGATAAACTTCTCCTATTTTTAAGATATTCTGACCCAATCATCTGAATATATGACTGAATTCTATCGCCTGATGGTAAGTTTTAATAAATAGGATTGTTTGTAAAATGGTTATTAAAAATAGACCAGAACAAAATTATAACATTGTCTAATGCACAATCTATACATTCGTAGGTCAATTCTATTAATACAAATATGACAGTAAGCAACAGCCAGATTAGATGCAATTTGCATATAGAATGTGATGATCTAACTGTCAGATACAAGTAACCATATCTGAGTAGTTATGCTAATTAGACTTACGAGTATAGATATGATATCAATATTATTTATGTAATCCGTTTTTATATTTTTTGACATCTTCTAACTAACATCTTCGACTAGCCACGTCGGCAAACCATTGACAATGATAAAGCAAAAAGAAGTTAACTCCACTTGAAATTATTATACTTTGCAAAATCATACTGCTGTACTTACTCTATTTCTTTTTTTTCTATCTATAATTCGCCCAAAGAATAAATATTATTGACTTTAGTGACAGTTTTTGTCATTTTCATTCAAAAGTAGATAATTTTCTAATTTTATCATTTTGTCTATCATTTTTCAATATTGTCTATCCATGTCCTGTATAATTTCTCAAAACCGAATAATTCTATAAAAGTTGTAGGAGGATATTTTGCTGATATGAATAAATTACACTTGCATACATCTACTTGATATAACTTATTCATTTAATTAACGGTATGTAGGAAGCAGAGGAGTTGACATTTTACTAGTAGGTATCTAAATAATGAATCTTCAAGTGACTTACGATGCTCATAAATAAATTCTTCAATTTTAATGAGCTTAAAATATATCATCAAAAAGTTGCTTTGTGTGATAGTAGAGAAACAATTCTTATGGAAAAAATATAGTAAAAGCGAAAATGTATGAAAAAATAAGGTTTCTATGCCAATTTTTAAAAAATATCAATAGATGAAAAAACTTCAAGCCTAACCATCATTATTGCACACTGAAAAAAAAATCTCTCAGTCGAAATGAATATGACTTTGACCCAAAAGATTGGCGCTTTTCAATAGGGCCAAGAACGACGTTTCTTTGCCCAAAGCATTAACTATCTTTTCATAAGCTTTAAAAAATTACTTTAGAGAATAGAAGAATCTATCTGTCCAAAGTATTTCACTCTTGACCCGAAACGAATATGCAAAGAAGTTCTTGCTACAAAAACAATAGTTTCTTTGATTCATGCAAAAATTCTTGATTGAAAAGGGACATTTCTTGATTAGAGACACTTTTCTTAAACCAATAGCGTATACTATTGACCTAACTAAAATTTATTTTGATCTAAGAGAAGTCTATACATCATATACAGGCATATAACGAGGTATATTATTTTCTGATAAATTTAGGTTTTCCTGGTCTGTAGTAAGTAAAGTGATATTATTTTCCTCGATAGTAGTTATTTCTGCTTCTTCACTCCTTGGTATTTTTTGGGGTGGTTCATTACTCTACAAATTACAAAAAATGTTACATCACGATTAATCAAAGTAAAGCAAATAAATTATTAAGCTTTGGTCACATTTTGAATTTTTTAATACGACGGCGACGACTTGAAATTCTAAAATTTTTGTAATTATTTGCATAAAAAAATCGATACCTATATTCTTATTCTATCTATAGTCACACATGCATTATCTAAACAGGTGCATTAGGTAAATGTCTCTTACCTTCAAATATAGCAAATAAATGCTCTAGTTTCCATTTTTTCAGAAACTCCTTTAAAGAATCCAGATATCCTAAAATTTGTCCATAAAAAATGACAAATGCACGTTAATAACGATCACGAATTTGTTATATGATATGCGTTTAAAAAGCAAATTATGCAAAATTCCAAGCAACAAAACCCGTGCGTACTATGATGTGCGACCTATGAAATGCGACGACCTGATCGGACTGTCATGCCGACTGATTGTATATACCGTCCTTCGTCATTGTCCATGCATGTCGTTATTATTTTTCATCAAAAGAGTATTTAGCTATTGGAAAAATGGCCATGTTTCTTGAATGAAGTACTTCCTAGCATATTTTTCTTATTATCTTAAAACAAAGTAACTTGCACTTGGTTGAATGAAAATAGATTCAAGAGAAATTTTCGAGTTCTTTCTTGAGTTAAGAGAGTTTTTCTTCAGACAAAATATTTTCTTTTACGCTAAAATAAATTCTCTTGCCACTAATTTTTTTTTTTTTCAAGAACGATGACGACTTTAGTTCAAGTCTATCTTTTTTATCAGTGCAGTATTCCATGAGTGCCTAATACGCTTTTACAACACGAATATATAAATATTTCTCAAAAATATACATTAATAATCGCCCATTTCCATTAACGTCATTACCAGGATGTCAAAATAATTTTGTAAACCCATACGATTTAAGCCTTACCTTTCAACTCGTCCAGGTCTGCGTAGGGATCGGGCAGCTGATTCACTCTGGCCTGCATTTTTAATGCCCGATTATTAATCCTTTCACTGTCACTGGCGCTTCTAATGGCCGATTAATTTTTAACAGCGCTGGCACAACGGTCCTTCATCCTTAGTCCTAATTGCGGAGTCTTTTTCATTTTGGCACGCTTTTTGCCGCTTTGCAGTTGGATTAGACCGCGGTTTTTCGATTGGAGAAAAAGTTCGGCTAGAGTTGATTACCGGGTTCTTTGAGAGAGCAAAACCTTTTATAACTGTCTGTTAGATGAACGGATGTGGAGATAGACATACACTTTGTATAATACGTTCTGTAAAAATAGTATAGTGTTTTATTAGGAGTAAAAATGATATGGAGCGTTTAGACTTGAGCACGCACGAGCTGAGCGTGCGCGCACGGCATTCGTTCGCGCTCTCGGCTCCGTTCAAATTAAAAACTTATTTTTCGACGAATGAAGTGGCCCATTTGTGCGCGCACAGCAAAGTTGTGTTGGCGAAAATAATGGACGACCAAGAAATAATCGAGGCTGCAGTCATTGTTATGCACAGCTTAATTATTAAAAAGAACAAAAATCGAAAACATCGTCGCTGGTGGCAAACCCAAATTTTTAGAAATCGATATAATTTACTGCAACAACTTAGTGTATGACTTTGAATATTTACAAAATTTAATCACAACCAAAAATTACGAACAAAAGACAAATTTTAGAATAGCAATTTCATTAATATCGACATATTCAATATTAATTTTATTTACAAGGTTTTGCCATGCGTTATATTTTTTTGATTTTTTAATAATACGAAGAATGTTTAACATCCCATAATATAGGCAACTTTTTATATTTTTCAATTAATAATAACCAAGATTCATTGATTCACTCCATAATTTTTATAAAGAAAACGAAATAAAAATACACACGCACGCACGAACGCAGACAAAACAAATTGCCGGTCCAAATTGAGCGTTCGTAGCACACATAAAATCTCTTTGAGCACGGACCAAAAACCGACACCAGACGGCTCACGTTCGCGGCTGCTCGCGCACAGACAGATTCAGAGTGAGCGTGCGCGCACAGCCGTTTACACTTGAGCATTCGCGGAGGATCAGTGCGTGCATGCTCAAGTCTGAACGCACCAATATATTGTGTGGCGAGGGCTGTACGTTTGACGGACGGGCGTTAGCAACTCCGACGTTACAGGCGAGCCACAAAAGTAGGGATGTTCGGTTCTAAGATTTTAGTACCGGTACCACGAAGTACCAGTCCTACAACCGGTATACCGGTTCCAACAATTAGATCGGTGGGACCGATACTGAACCGATACACCAGCTGGACCTGAAGACCGGATGAACCGGAATATCGGAAAGACTGAAATAACAGTTTTGGTTGTTGTGCCAGTGAGCATACCTAATGATACCGTATTAAAAATCGTAAATAGAAAGTTCTCATGCCTGTAACGTTAATTATAAATACGGTAACGAATGATCGAAAAAAAAACGGCGTCCAGTTTTACATTAACCATAAGTATTCACCATATAATTTTTACATATAAAATGACAGCGATCTTCATTTCATAGCAATCGCTGACGCAGTTTTTTTTCGATCATACGGTACCTAGAGTAGGAGAACACAATCAGCTTTGTACGAAAACCGGTACCAAAATCGTTTTATACAAGTTTTTTGATTTTCATATTATCATGAATCTAATTTTCCGTAACGATTGGAAACCGGTCTTCCGGTATCGATTGAAACCGGTCTTTCGGGACCGATTTAAACCGGTCTTCCGGTACCGGTATCAAAACCGGTCTTCTGGTACCAGTACCCAATCCGGTCTTCCGCTACCGGTAACTAAACTTGTATACCGGTCTTGAAAAAGTCGATACGGTACCGGAATATTTCAAAAGTACCGGTCCTGGTACCGGTATACCGGAAGACCGAACATACCTAGCTGCGACTTGGTCGTCAGTGCGTTTGAGCCCTTAAGAAGGCCCTTATTTTTTATATTGCGTAAAAATTATTTTTAAATGGGGTAGTTATTAGTGTTAATTTTTGACAAGTTTTATGTTAATTTTTTGTAAATGACATCTAGAAATTGACCTCGTCAGAATTAACATCTATTGTTATTCCCCAGCCGTCTTTGACACAATGATAGTTCTTAGGTAAAGCGGTTCTGGGTAAAGACCGCCTAAAAACTTAAAAATTTTCAGATTTGTTATTCAATCAAAAGTTCAAAAGTCCATAAAATTACGAAATTAAAAAAATACGCTGCTTCCAGCTTTTCTAATAATCCCCTATCCCTAGTAAATGACGTTACTAGTTGTAGAATATAAATATTAACAAAAATCTCAGCACAATTTACACATAAACCACCATAAATTACCAATTTTATCAACACCACTATCGTTAAAATGCAACAAACCGCATTTGTTTTACTGAACAGCCACGAAAAAAAAACAATTACGCGCACCAACCTACCGCGATATTATCCTAGTCCCGCGAGAACAACGAAAACCTTCGAAAAACAACCGGCGATCGCCTGCTGATATTCGCGAGCGGCGGCGGACGAACAACAAATGACCGCGCTCACGTGCGAGGCCCGCTTGATAGTTGTCGGCGTCGCGTCGGTCGTGGGCGAGTAGCGCCGCGGCGCCTCCACGTTATCGCCGTCAACGTCGGCCGTGAATTAGTAATTTGGCGTCGGAGAGGAGTGAGGGGGTGTGTAGAGTATCTCCCGATGCACTATATGGAGTAAGTTTCTATTCAGAATCTATAGACCTCGGAGTAACAACAGAAATGGAAACGAATGTACTGTAAACATTGGTAAGGGGGCGTTCATTAATTGACGTGTGGGAATCAGGGTGGGGGAGGGGTCAAGCCGAGTCTTGCTAAAAATCACGTGGAGGAGAAAGGGGGTTTCGGCAAATATCACGTAATTTTTTTTGAGCAAAAAATGGTGTAAAAATGTGAGAAAATCAGATTAATTTAAAGTAAAAAAATTAACTAATAACTATAAATGGTAAAAAATATTGAAATCTGACACATTTCTTTTGTATATTAAAATAGATGTAAAGTTATTTAGTATTGATATATCATATATAATTAATTCATTTTCTGCACCTTGTAATCTGATAACCCTTAGTTTTGAAATTGATCCGTAATTTAAGAACCAATTAACCTTAGGGCATAATCCACCCACAGGATGATGTTTAATCAGGGTGTCCTTCGCTTAATCAACTTCCCCCTTTAACAGGCTATCACTGAATTAATATCAGTTTAAAAGAAGAGGTTGTGTAGAATTTTAAAAATTAAACAGCAAAATTTTAAAAAAGTTTTAAAAATTCCAGTCCAAGAAGATTTTATTTCATAAAAAAAACATTTAATTGTTTTAAAAATAACTGATTTCGTAAAGTCATCTAGACTATTCAACAAATATCAGACAGAACACAACATCTACAGAGCAAATAAAGTATCCAGCATCCAGCAAGTTTACAATCCCTTTATAGTCCGAAAACACAAGAAAAGATCAACAAACAAGAAGTAATTAAATTGAAAATCGAGTCGACGTCACGGATATGTAAATAGAAAATAGATGAAGAATTACTTCAGCCACAAATGGTTTGCTTTTAGTCTTTTCACTATTGTCTATCGCAATCGAACAATTTGCAACGTCACAAATAATTACTTTATTGTTTATGGGTGAACAAAACAATACGCCGCTAGCCGTTTGTAACCCCTGACGTCAGCATGTCCATTCATGTGTTCCAAAAATACCCTTCGACCGATGTGTTAGAATGGAATTTAATAGATCGACCATAGCTTCTATTTTGACGATGTGTTTGTACTCTTGTTGGAGTAGATGTGGTGTAAAAAAGTTATGTTTTTGTTTATGATCTTATAGAAATCAAATATCGAAAGATAAATTTATTTTATGTACGGGGTGGTTCAATAATAGGCAGAAGCTGGCTGTAGACTGTAGCTCAGGAACCGTTAATGACAGAAGCTTTGAATAAAAAGATTAGAAGTATAATACTCTCCATGTATATTCATGCAGATACAGTTATGGATTGTTTTGAGATGGCTGTGTAAAAAACACTAATTTTTAATCAAGGAGCCTTGGAAAAATACGAGGCATGTTTTTTAAGTAAGTACCGTTTTGCGATTCCGCCGCCGCAGCGCTACGGTCGGCGTTCCGCGCATGCGCGCTGGTTACCTAAATCTCTTGTCTATGCACAGACGTCAGTACAGTCTGATTCTTCATTGTATACGTTGTTTATTGAGTGTTTAAGATGCCTCCGACAATCGTGAGCCCCGCCGATTGTGAAGTACGGGCTGTCATACGATTTCTTAGTGCTAAAGGCGTAAAACCGATCGATATTCATCGTGAGATCTGCGAAGTTTACGGACAAAACATTATGAGTGATGGAATGGAAAGGAAATCCTTCGGTCGTTAATGAAGATTTGGTTCCGAAAGTGGACGAAAAGGTGAAAGAAAACAGACGCTTTACAATTTCATCATTGTGCAACTACTTTCCTCAATGTTCTCGTAGTGTTTTGTATCGCATTGTGACCGAGAACTTGAATTACCGGAAATTGTGTTCACGTTGGGTTCCGAAAATGTTGACGGATTTGCACAAAACCCAACGTTTAGGCAGTGCATTGACTTTCCTTGAGCAGTACCACAATGAAGGTGAAGATTTTTTAGACAAAATTGTTACTGGTGACGAAACATGGGTGGCCTACGTCACACCAGAATCGAAACAACAATCCATGGAATGGCGACATTCATCATCACCCAAAACAGTGAAGTTTAAGCAAACAATTTCTGCCCGGTAAATCATGTGCACAGTTTTTTGGGACAGAAAAGGAGTATTGCTAGTGGAGTTTCTGCCTCGTAATGAGACAATCAATGCAGCATCTTATTGTGAGACATTGAACAATCTGCGCCGTGCAATCCAAAACAAAAGACGTGGCAAGTTGAGTAAGGGTATTGTTTTGCTACATGACAATGCCCGTCCACATGTGGCTAATCGGACCAAAGATCTCATCAAATCTTTTAAATGGGAAACTCTAGATCATCCTCCATACAGCCCTGCTCTGGCGCCCAGTGACTACCATTTATTCCTGCACTTGAAGAAACACCTGGGCGGTCAGTGTCTTCAAGACGATAACGAAGCCAAAACAGTTGTGATACAGTGGTTAACCAGTCAGGCGGCAGAATTTTATGAGGAGGGTATTGAAAAACTGGTGCCACGTTATGACAAGTGCCTCAATATTCACGGAAATTATGTAGAAAAGTAGATTAAGGTACAGGCTTTCATGTAAAAATAAAATTATTGCGATATCTTTGCACGTTTTTTTTTTAATTCCAAAACGGTACTTACTTAAAAAACATGCCTCGTAGATTTGAGCGTCTAATGTTTTTAGTGGCTTGTCCTGGCTGGTTAAAACATGCCCAAGTCGTATTTTTAATCATATCTTAATTTTTTCAAATGGAACCAGGGTGGCTCGTTATCATATTTGAAAAAAGCTTTTTTTACGAATAATTTGGTACCACACACTTGGTATTTCAAGTCAAACTATCGTTATGAACCACATGTTACAATTTCAAATAAACCATAAATATGCGAAAATGTCAAAAGTTGACATATAATATGGCAATCTATTCAGAATGTCATTTTCTATCAAATAAAAAATACCGACAGTGCGATTTATAAATCAAAAATTGTAGTAATTTCCGGTGAAGCAGGAAGTGACCGAAAGCAATTGACGTCAATCAATCCTAATTTATGTCATATACTAACATACCAGATCTCGTTTTTTTATCTGAAAAATAAAAAAGTTATAGGGGTGTGCCACTTTTGAGACGCACCCGGTATAAAAGTTTTTAAAGAAATAAAAATAAACGAAGTTCAACACTCCCCCGTCAATATTTCTAGATACGCCTCTGGGAATGATCGATTTTTAATGAAAATGATGGGCATTCCCACTGGGAAAAATATATGTTTGGAAAATGTTACTAATCCTAGTATTTTCCTTTTTTTCTCTTGTTTACTATTTGGTTCAATATTGAACTGAATTTACTAATTTAGTTCAACATGTATATTCGTTAAAAATTCAGCATTTCAGGCTATTTTGCATATTGAAATAGGGGGCGTATCTACATGTGGCTGTAAATGAGCATGGGAATTAAAAAGCTTTCTAAAAAATAGTTTCCGGTTGAAAAAAATAAACAAAGTATCTACTATTTACTAATCAACAAAACACGACTTTTAAAACTAACACTGGAAAATAAATATGTAAGATTCAGCTTTGACCAAAGGCCGGGCAACAACAATATTTTGATACTTTTATGTATATTTATTGACGATATTCTTAAAATTTAATTTAATATATTACGTATTTTTATACAGGAATATTTTATACAGGTAATTACAGGAATGGACTGGCCACATTACTTATGCTTAATTTTCTGAATTAGGTAGTTTGTCCAAAAAAATCCTTTATGGGTATTTCGCCACTGCACTGCAAGAAAATCTACAAAATAAAATAGAAATACCCATAAAGGATTTTTTGGAGAGATGAATCCGCCACATAGGTATAGACATTTTTTAGGTAGTTTGGTTAGGTTTGTTTAAAAATAAAAAAAAACTCGAAAAAAAATTCAAAAAATTCTAAATTTTATTTTTTTTTGCGAAAGAAACCTCGTAGATGTGTTTTCTGGTGTCGAAATATACTACTCCTAAAAATATTTGCACTTATTTAAGACTCACCCTGTATCGTGTGTGTGTGTGTGTGTGTGTGTTTAATAAACACACAACAACTATAAACACTGTTTATAGTTGAAGAATAAATTTGTTTAAGTGTTTTATCATGTGTTTTAAATTAAGGAAACACGGAATTCTTTACAGAATTATATGAAAAATCCATTATTATAACAGTCTCCTTAATTTTTTTGAGCTTGGTATTTAACACACTGCATACTTTCAAAATTTTGCATATTCGGCTATTTTTACATATCGAAGAGGGGGCGTACACACAGCTGTAAATAAACATGGGGATTAAAAAGGTTTCCATTTCACATTTGCACGGTTACTTTTCTCTGTGGCGCGTTTTGGCAGTCGTAAAACTGTTCCCTCATAATTTGTAACCAGACTTAAGATTTATCCCGTTAATTTCTAAGTATTTTTAACTCAAAGAGAACATTCACCCCTTCTTCTGAAGCTGGCGCTTTAAGTTTAACTATATACGGTGAGTATACACTAGATCTATATTTGGTACAATTAAAATACGTAGCTCAGGACCTCTACTACCAGAAATCAACAGAAAAATTATGATTTTTTCCAACCCTGGATATTGCTAATGCAATTTGCACAGGTCACAAATTCAATGTATAAAAAAATTAAATGTAAAACGAAAAAAATATATTAAAAAACCAAATAAAAATAAATGCAGTAAAATGATATACAGAGAAGACCAGGCTACTAGTAACATAGCAAGTTGCCGGACGAATTTACGTTTACCCGTTTTGCGTTCGTACTCGAGAGTCACTGCCGGCTAGTCGGCTGGTCAGGCAGTAGGCAGTTGCAGTTGTGCTTGGACGAGTCGGTCGTGACAGACTAGGAATATGACGCGAGGAGTGCCGTGTATTTATTATTGTCATTTTAAATGTTTACCTTCACTTAAGGTAACATTTAAAATAAAAATACTTAAATATT